GGCAAGGATGAGAAGATTGTAGCAGCGGTGTGACATATCTTGTATCAGCCGCAAGCTTAAATTAGCCCAAGCAACGCCATGTGCAGCACAAATCGCAATGTGAAACTTTTAAGCTTCGTCACTCGTAAATGATTTGTCGTCTTCAAGATTTATAGCTCGAATTCTGCTCTTCGTTTTTTCAAATTATCTTGCTACTCCACTACTTCGTAAATTGCATCTGTTCAGTGTAGATTATGACGCTAGCAAGACTCTATCAATCATCATGCATCGGTTCTTTTCATGACACCAATATAATCCATCAAGTGGTCCACTCTAAATTTGCAGCCATCTCTCATGTCCACTCAATTTGATTAGCCGATGACGTCATGGATTTTTTTGCTTACCCACAATTTGAACGTAGTCAAGATTTCGTCATGCACCTTCGCTATTTACGCACATCGCTGCTGGTCGGTCTTCTCATTACTGATGCTTTGGCAAGAACAACTTCAACATCAACCTCGCCACGGTCGCGGCATCTACACGCAGCAGACGATGATTCTCAGAATTCGATGAATATCGACGGCGAAAACAGGACAAATCCGGCACTTTCTAAATTCATGAAAGAAGTTTTGGGATTGAATCAAGCCAACAGACGAATCGAGTCGTGGAAAAAGGCTGATGAGATCTTGGCTCAATTCGGCGTGAACCCGACGTCAGAACTCTTAGTAACACGATACAATGCAGAATACACTTCCAAAAATTTCCTGGCCAGCCCAGTTTGGATTTGTTGGGCCTTTCTCGTTTGTCAATCTGGTGTGAAAGTAGAGGATGCAAGTCAGTCTATTTATAAGGGTATGGCAGCTGGATTTACTGCAGAACAGTTAAACACTATATTCGAGAAAGGAATCGCGGACACCAAAACTCAAAATTTTTTTTTTTCGCGGTCAAACTGCGCAATCATTTGTGGAAAGATCATGGTATCAATCCTGACAACATGCTTGCGCAAATCGATACCACCAACTTTTTTGGCGTGGATTTTGACAATTGGGTCGCATATCTATCCTTTTATCATGGAGTTGAGGAAAATCATGACTTTCGTTTTTTAGTGCTGAAAGATCTCATTCGGTACTATACCATGCACGAATTCCTGAAAATTTTGTTCCATCCAAACAACGGAGAAAACACTAAAGCGTTGGAATATTTAAAAATGTTATCTGGATTTTGGCTGTCAAAGAAAATTAGCCCGGTCGACGTCGTGAAGATGATTGCAAGCCACGATGACATGATTCCTTCCTTTCTCGATGATGTGGAGAACAAATTCTGTGTCGATTTTTGGCGTAGATACCTCGGTGATTTCAATCATATGTATCCTAAACAACCACTGACGCAGCTTAAGACGCTTACAGAAGCTGTCGGCCCCGCAAGAGTGGCAGTTATGCTGCGTGCTGCACTACTTTCGTCACACCACTCAGTCGAACAATGTGGAATTCGTTTGCAGGGATTCCAATTTAAAGACTGGTTTGACCGTTTGATGTCAGCGGGTGATGTCCGTGATCTAATAGCAAATGATCTGGCAAACAAGCCGTGGACGTTGGAAAGTCCCAGTATATCGTCGTTGGCCGAAACGACCAGCACGTATTACTTTAATTTTTGCCTCAACCGTCTTCTCAATTTCTGAAATTTATGCAAGACAAGTATTGATGCTGACGTAGTCGCAGTCGCATCAAATAATTAAATCGACTC